AAAGAATCTGAAATGACATTAGCTAATAAAATTTTCATTTTTTTTTTCCTTAGCACAGTTACATTTAGGTATTTTTTGCTTTTAGTATTTTGGTGTTCTTTTCCTTCTCAAAATTCAACAAATATTCAATTGCTTCAAAATTATAGTAGGCAATAAAGAGAGAAGCAAGAAGGAGGCAAAGCAGGAGAGAGGGCTGAGCCGCGGTAGGGCTCTGCAGGCCCGTGAGACGGCTCTGAAACTTTAACAAAGAAGAGTCAGAGTCGTTACAACACTTTGAGTACAGAGTGGCATGATCTGACTTAAGCTCTTAAAGGATCGCTCTGCCTATCGTGCTGGAAACAGGGACAAGCGAAGAAGTCGGGACACCAGTCAGGAGGCTAATTATTGAAATAATGCAACAAGAGACGATGGAGGATTGGAGCTTGCAGCAGGGAGGTGCCAAGATGTGACGGATGCTGGAGGTACAGTCATGTACCACATAATGACGTTTGGTCAACAATGGACCGCATGTATGATGGTGATCCCCTAAGATTACAAACCCATATTTTTACTGTGCCTTTTCTATGTTTAGGTATGTTTAGCTACACAAATACTTACCACTGTGTTGCAACTGCCTACAGCATTCAGTACAGTAACATGCTGTACAGGTTTACAGCCCCGAAGCCATAGGCCATACCAGGTAGCCCAGGTGGGTAATGAGCCACAACACCCCGGTGTGTGCAAACGCACTCCATGATGTTTGCACAATGACGAAAGCACCCAACTCCGCATTTTTCAGAACGTATCGTGTCATTAGGCAACGATGAATGTACGAAGTTCTGACTACAGGTTGGCTCAGGTCAAATACACAATGACCACTTTTGAAGATACAGGAGCTTGGAAAATTGCAAAATTTCCATTGAAAATCAAAAATCATGATCAAGAATAAATTTACAATCTAAAAAGGAAATCAATCTATGTCTCTCTGTTCCTCTAATTCCATCATGAAAATGTGGCTTCTCCAGAAGTATCTTATCTCCTAAGCTGAGAAATGCTTCGCACTCTGTTTTTAGACATCTGTTAAACACAGGGCACTATGCTAGTCACTGCTAACAGCACTGACGCCCATCAGAACGACAGTCTGCTAAAAAAAAAAAAAAAAAACCAAAACCTATTTCATTCTGGCTCACATAATTTACATTAGCAAAAGATACTAATTTGTTTGCCTACTGTCTTTCTCTCTCCCTTCTAGAATGTAATCTCCTTGAGGGAAGGCACTTCATCAGTTTTTCTTACTGCTGTGCACGAGTCTAGAACAGAACTGAGACGTGATAGAAGCAAATCAAATACCTACTGAATGACTAAATGAAGACTGAGAACGTGAGGAGTCTATACGGCAGGACTACACATTGTTCTTATTTCCTGACCTTCCATATTCAAAGGCAATAAGTATCTTACAATTTTATTCTTTTCCTGGCTAAGGGAATAAACTGCTGTTGCAACATAAAAATCCCTCCGTGTTATAGTGGGATGTTCACTCAAACCTGCAGATAGACACGTCTGGTTTCTGAGCAGGATTTGCTCTTATGGTAGGACAATGAGTAAAAAAGGCATTTCTACCAAAAATAATCTTCCCCACCAGCCCGTGATGATGTGTCTAATATTCCAACCCTGATGCTTACACCACATTACCCATACTTTGGGTTAAAATGGTACATTTTAGAAGAACTCTAGGATACCAAGCCAAGGGACTTGGGGGCCACAGCCTGGGTTAAAGGGGTGTGTTCGGTTCCCCACCCCATTTCAACCAGAGAGCTTTACTGTTGTCTGCTTTATGTTAAATACGTTTGAGTCCTTGAAAAATTTCCTTTGAAAACGGACTTTTGCCATCAAAAACGAGTTTGAAAACCCCTTCGCCATTAAGGTTTTAAACGTTCAGCTAAAATCATAAAGAGCTTATGTGTTAATTCATTTTTGGCTATGAATACTTAGCTCTGAACTTAATTATGGACTGTTCAGATTTTCATTCTAGTTGGCTTTTCACCGTACTGAGACTTGAGAGAATGGGACCGAGGGTGACTTCGCGGGTGGGGGAAGGGCACAGGAGAAGTATAGAACAACAAGAGTCCAAGCAAGACTGTCACCGGGACCCACTAGTGAGCTCAGAACGGCCCTGCTTGAAGGCATACTGGGCGTGGATTTAAGTCGGTTACACTAGGGGTACGAGAAATGCCGCCTCACTTTATTTTTTTTAGGTCAAATTCATACTTCCCCACTCAAAAAGATGATGAGAAACATAACTGAGGCATATTTTGCAGGGGCTCTTCCTCCTTAGAGTAGTGGGAGATCCAAGGGGCTTACATGGTACCTGGAAGAACCAAGGATGGGCCTCGGAGAATTTGCCGAGGGGTCATGGTCTCTTAGTCTGCCGGGTGTACGCTGGAAAGCACACGCCATTACGGCCGTGCCAAGCCAGGGTACAGGGCCG